GTTCCACACCCTGTACAATAGCAACTTTGCAGAGTGCCCTCTTACACTCTGGGACCCCTCGGGGGATGTGGGAGAGCCAGTTTCAACCTGATCCCCGCAGGCCAGGCCAAGGAACCCCACCTGCTGGAGGGACCCCACTCACTCCACAGACACCTTTCAAGCCATGGAGCCACCCAGATGCGGCTGGCCCGGGAGGGACTACTGGAGGTTGGCTCCAGGGCGTGTCCGGCCGACTGGCCCAGTCCCGTCCCGCTGGCCACCTTCTAATTAATTTCCTTTCAATGTGCACAAATCCGTGCACTGGGTCACTAGTTTAAAATAATTATCTGTGCTATACAACAATAATCTGTATTCTTCGCTTATTGCATATGTTCACTCACATGAATCTGAATGGCTATCTTTTCCTGAATGCAGTAAAGTTTATAAGGCTCTTGCCCATAGATCATCTCATTTGACTTTTATGACATCGCTTTGAAATAGGCAAGTCCTCTATCATTTATAGTGTCCCCATTTTAAGAATGAAGAAACTGAGGTTGAGAAAGTCCCAACAAAGTGCCCAGAATCACAAAGGTCCCTAAATGTAGAACTCAGGTCTGCTGATCCTGAAGGCGGAGCTCAAGGTGGTCACTATACAGTGCTGCCTCCCTGATATCTGAGCAAAGTCCCTGCTGTGAGAAAGTCTAACACATTTAGGCCGGCTCTCCTGGTCGCCCTCCCCTCCCTAAGTGTGTCAGCTGCCTGGTAGGGTCAACTCTTGCAGAGGCAGCCCTCTTGCAGTCACTTGCCCTGCAAGTCCTGTCTTTCGGGTTCTGAGGCTCAGAGGCACCAGTGTTGCAGAGTTATGCTGCTCGGCTACTCAGAGTGTCGACCTTCCCTTCCTTCCCTCTGGAATGGTGCTGAGGAGGCGAGGGTGGTGGGAGAGTATGAACAGAGATAAAAGACCAGAGCAGAGTAAAAGACCCTAGAAAACCAGTGAAACAGGTGACCGCATCTTGTGACATGATACAAAATAAATTCTTCTTGTCCCTGGAGTTGATGTAGCACAAATTAAGTAGACATAATTTCTGTCAGTAGGTTTATCATCCAATAAACATAGCGCTGAGGTAAACATATAAATGTACATGGAGGTTTCTAGTGAAAAATGGCAAATGGATCACATGTTTCAGCTCCCCAACCCCTAACTCCTCTAACACAAGAATGAATGAATACTTTAAAAGTCAGTAAATCACAAAGGCAAATAAAAGGGAGAGGAGAAATCAAAAGACAATAACTGCAATAGATGATGGGAAGAGCCCAAGTTAGATGGAGGCTTGGACTAATCCACTGCATGCCTATAGGAGGGCTTATGGATAAGAAGCAAGACAATTAACTGCTTTTCATCCTTCAAAATATTCTTAAAAATTGCCATCTTGTCTACCTACTTGAACCACAAGTGATGAGATGAGAGGTTCCTAACTCCCCCTTCCCCTGGGATTGCAGAGAAGGCTTTGTCAGGTGGTCATGCACGGTTTGCCTCCACCCTCAGATGATTTCAGTTCGTAGGAAGGCTGTTTAATCACAAATAAAAATCAACCCCTCCCCCGTTTGGAGAAAACCCACATCATGACTAACAGTCACAAGATTGGACTTCCACGTCATGCTAGTTTTAGTAACTACTTTTACAGATGTTACTTCAAGAAATATATAGGCTTAAGTGAATCCATACTAGCAAATTGCTTTAAATGGGTAACACATCCAGACACATTCTATGTACCCAAGTGTCCTTGTTCACATAATTATATGTAGGGCATCTACTCTATGATGGGGTCTTAACCTACCCCTTGCTAACTTCATTTTGCCTCAGTTTCCTAGAATGTGAAACAAACACACACTGTAACCTTTCATGGAAATGATTGTAACTTATTCTAATTCTTTCTTTCTATGTTAAAGGAACATTCTATGGGAAAGAATCAAATGGTTTCATGAGTATACCATATATAGCTTTTATCAAGTCCAAATTTCAAAGAAGCCACAGTAGTGGGTAAGCCATTATTCTGTCTATGAGTAATGTTAGACCCCTTTATAAGTAACAGCAAAAATACTATAAGTATAATTATGGACATAATTACAATTATAAAATTGTTTAATCAATTTATCAGATTGATTAAGGAGAAATAAATCCATGTAAAAATGAAGCAGAGAAAAGAGTGTAATAAAATATATATGCATAAGCATAATCATAGCAACATATATATCTGTGTGAACATAAATATAGTCATATATTAATATTTATACATTATATATATACATATACTTGCTCAATGTTAGCTTTATAGTGAGCTACAAAATAAAATGTCATTTGTGACTACCATTTAAGTGTAAATGAATATATGGCGATTCCTTCATTTTCCCAAAATATGTCACTAAAAAGCAGCATTCTTATTTACAACTTTTGTTACCTTTCAGCTGCAAACACTTCAAATTGTCATATCATACAACTGAGGAATAATTCTTTTGTAAATTTCTTTGCCTGCCTTTTAACCAATTTCCAGGTCATTTTTCTAAGCATTCAAACTAACATTGATAGATATAATTTCAGGCAAATATTCCTCCCCTAAATATTTTTTGATCAAATTAAAGTATTTTTATTAATGTTCCATGATAAGAGATCCATGATTACAGCAATATAAAGTCAACATCTTTTTTAAAAGTATAATTTGGAAAATTATGTTGCCATATATTTGATCATATATACATATATATGAAGATAATTTGCAAAAATAATAATTAGTAAATGAAGATTTAGTGATAGCAAAGAATTCCATGCTAAATGATTACTTTTTAAGAATATATTTTCAAGAAAAATGCTGCCTTAAGAAATAATCTTACATTATAATCACATGAAATATGATCTAATTTGTTTTATCATCAATATGGTAAAAATTTATAAGCCCACATGAATTTTTATTATATTTCTAGTATATATAATAATGTTCTATTTCCAAAATGACCTGAAAATCCTGAGTATTAAAGCCATACAGTATCTCCTAAATATGCATTAGTGACATAACCACTAAGTAGGTTCCTGGCCTGTGGAATTTTTAGCTACAACTCTCATTACTGCCATAGATTGAGTGAAACACAGAAAAATCCCCACACACTTCGTATAAAATATGTTCTTTTCTTAAAACTACTCAACCTATTTTATATAAATTATAAGCAACTTATTTTTATAGTCAAAAAAATAAGAGAGAGAAGGTGTTTTAAAAGAACATGTGATCAGAGTGAAGATACCACAGTAAGAACTCATTTCCTTGCATTTATCCACCTGTAAAATGTGGTAAATAATAGTCATCTTTTTTATAGTAAGCATTCTAATCCATTCCCTGTGTGTGGGTCTCCTCTAATGCATATCCTCAAAAAATTAGAAAGGCATTACCCCTTAAGGACAATAGCAAGGTAAAGGTGCAGCAGAAACTT